CAAACCCTAAAGACAAAACTTACAATTGCCCCCAATGAAACTTGCAATTTCATCCTTTCATTTTCTTTCTCTCTCTATCCCTCCCTCAACACTAGATCTAGACAATAACCCTTACAATTTCTTTCTTTTATTGGGTTTGAAAGCTAGGTTTGAAGGAACCTAACATGCATTACTAGATTCCTTTGAACCCTGCTGGGTTTGATGGAACCCAACACACCCGGGTTCTTTCAAACCTAGCAGCGTCTGCTGGGTTCAATCAAACCTAGCGATTGCTGGGTTCCTCATCATCATCATCATCATCTTCTTCTTTTTCTTCATCCTCATCTTCTTCTTCATCCTCTTCCTCAACATCATCATCATCATCATCACCCTCATCTTTTTCATCTTCTTCATCACCATCATCTCTACTAGCACCATCCTCATTTGCCTTTGGTTCATCCTTAGGATTATCTTCACTGTCCTCACTAGATCCATCTTCCTCCTTACCTCCATCCTCATCCTGATCATCTACAGCCTCATCTTCCTCTTCTTCTTCATCATCAGTTTCACTGGCATCTTTGTTCTTTGAACTAGGTTTTCTCAAAGCATGAAGTTGAGTAACTGGAAACCTACAAAGGAACCTAGATCTAGTGTTGGGGAAAGGGAGAGAAAATGAAAGGATATAAAGGTTGAAGATAAGGGTAATATGATCATTTTATTATGTTTAGAGATTACTTAGACAATTTTTTTGCCGAGTCATGTATTATTTTTTTTTTTTTTGCCATGTTGTAAATTTCACATATTTTATTTATTGAAAAGACATGCTTTTGTCGTTAGTTAACATGCCACATCATCAAAATTTTAACAAAAAACCCAAGTTGGGGCCAAAATGAGAAACAGTGGGGACCAAATCAAGGATTTTTTTGTGTTGAGCGATTCAATCAGGGTTCCATATAACACTTGAGGGACCAAAATGGGGGTTTAACCATTACAAAATTATTGAATTTAAGTAAATTATTTTCTATTGGGGTGGGAAGTTTCTGGTAGAAAAATATTTAGAATTTAAATTTATTTTGACTAAAAAAATAATGTCAATTTTATATATTAAAATAATTAAATTCAACAACATTTATCTACACAATATATATTTATAATTTCAATTTACTCTTTTTTTGGTATATTTAATTTATCATTTTGTTACCAAATAATTACAATTTTTAAACAAATTTCAAAAGTAACGAATGTGAAATATCTGCTTTACTTTAACATTTCTATTACATCTAAATTTCTTTAAGTTAGGGGATATATATAATACTAAATTAAAAACCTTAACACCAATATTACTTAAAATTTGAGAAATTGCCAACAAGTTTAAAGTACTATAGAAAAGGTATGAGAATATTACTTTATATCTAGCTTAGTCTTATTTTGATTTATATATTATGCCCAATCGTCAGTAGTCTTTACCTTTCTCTTTCGAGCCTCTTATTACAATTTCCCTGTAGTATGCTTTAATTCATCATATATTTTATTTTTAAGAGCTTTCTTGGGTTAGGTTTCAAAGGTAGTATATGCCTCTTTGAAATTTGTGTAGTTGATAAAATAGAGGCTGGAAGGCTTTAAGTGCACTTTGTCATGTCCACTGCCATGTATTTGTTAAATTGCTTAAGTGAGGTTAAGTTGAAATTTTTCTTTATCAATATACTTATATTTTTATTTGCTTTTATTCAAATATTTTGGTATATTTTTTAGGTTTAGATATTTTTTGGATAAAGGAGAAGAGTTACACTCTTAACTCTAATATAGAAGATTAGTACTTTATTATTTGTCAAGAATACTTGGCATTTGTCGTAATCCAATTTTAACCAAAGATTGGATAATAAAAGCCAATGAACCATTCGGTAAAAAAATTTGAAACTTGAAGGGAAGAGAGGAGGAAATGGAAAAACGACATCACTTTGTTTGCAAGCTAAAATAAAAATGAAGATTAGGGTTAAGTCGAACCCTAACTTCCCAAAATCCTGATTCTTTTGCTTTGCCACCACCTGTTGTCTAAAAATTCACAAATTCTTCTTGGTTTATCTCTAAATCTACTTGAGTTTGGATAGATTAGGACATCACTATGAAAAATTTTTTGGATTCGAATTCTTCATCAAGAATCACAGAGAAGGATTGTGTACTTTTTTATAATTTTTTGGCCAATTTATATTTTTTTTATTTGTATGCTATTTTTTTATATTAGTTAATTATGTAATTTGATTAAAGGATATATTTAAAATTAACGATTATTGATTGATTATTTTAATTTAATATTTATAAAATTAAAGTACTATTGTATTTTTTTAATTGGAAAGTATTATTGTATTTAAACTTATTTATTATCAAAATTTTATTTTTTTAGATATTAACTATAAAATATATTTGGGTACTAAAATTAGTTGTCATATACACTTTTCGTGACAAACTTTTTTTTATAAAAAATATACGTTATAATTACACAAATACTCTCTTAGCTTAATATTACTTTAAATAATTAGTGACATAAATATTGCATTAGTGACGAGTTTTTTTTGTTACAAATGTATATTGTAGTGATAAAAATACCTTTTTTTAGTTTAATATCAGTTTAAATAATTAATGACTAAATATTTCATTATAGATATCTAATTACATTTATAAAGTGTTTTTTTATCACTGAATTATAATTTATGTGAGGAATAAAATTGTTATAAATAACTTATTAACAGTATTAATTTTTTTATTATTAAATTTTTTTTTTATTACAAGTGTTAAATTTGTCACTCAGAATATTAGTGACAAGAGTTTTACTAACTGTTTAAATGTTATCACTAAATTTAACTTATGATGAAAAATAAAAGTTTAGTAACTATTAATTTAATAATTAAATGTGAGTTTTTTTTTAGTGAATTAAAGTTATAACTTTTTTTTAATTAATTAAAGTTATCACACTTTAAAATTTTCTAATTAAGGATACTAGCTTTTTTTATTTTACTAGTTAAGGATTAATTGAACACTATAGTGAAGTTTGCATACGTATTTCACCTGTGGAGCCTATTAAATTGCTGATATGTCAAAAAAAAAAAAAAAAAAAAGACAAATGGCCATTGATTTGGAAAATGAAGCATAAGTATCGACGCCACAATATAGGTATCAACACTTATGTATTGGATGTCACATCCCACGGTCCTTGAATTCTTAATACGTAGTACCGACACATAAATATGTGGCATCAACACCAAATCCGTGTTGATGGGGTTAAGGGAAAACTAGAACAAAATAAATTAGCATACAAATCCTATAAAAGATTAAAGTAGCAAAAAAAAATCCCTTAAAAATAGCTTCCTAACATTAAAATAGTAACATTCTTGCACCAATTTCAAAATAAAAATACAGAGAATCCAAACTTTCATTTTATTTTTCATGATTAATTCAAAGGATCACACAAATTTAAAGGATAGCTTGTTACAGGTGAACTTTTTGTATGTCATTTTCATAATATCGAGGTTGAATTGTTTATTTTATTTTGACTTTTTTTGTAAATTGCAATAATAGTATTAGTTTGAGTATAATGGGTACTCAACCTTTATAATCCATCTCAAGATCCCCTTTGCTTTTTGTCCATTGTTATGCTATACCATAAACTTGAAGCACAATTTTTAATAGTAATGTTTGTCCATTACATGAGGCACAATTTTCATCTATGGCTTGTGGCATGTTAGTTGCAACTTAAATCTCCATCTCTTTCCCAAATATTTTGTTTTGCATTATGATATTTTTTTATGTCAACATAAAATCTCACCATGATAGGCACAATTTTAAAAAACTTATTCTATTCAGTGGTTTATAGGTGCAACTAGAATATTGTTTATTTGATTAGTGGGTAGCATTTTCTTTTTGTTAGGTCTATTGTTGATTGTTAGATTTGTTATGATGTATGTATGGTGGTGGGAAATGATATGTACTTATTAGTGTTAGGTTCAGTAAAATATTGTTATTTAATTTCTATTATTATTGCAATATTGAAAAATTAATTACATTGATTGCATATTATGAAGGCACTTTAGTGAGGAATGTTGGGTTTGACGCTGACATTACATATTTCAATATTGATTCCATAAGCTAAGGTTGGCTGCATACAAAATTTGATACATAAGTGTGGACAGTTTTATAGCGGTATCGACACTTGTACTTCATCGGGGGCTCAGTCAACAACCATCCGTCATTTTTTTACATGTTAGCAATATAATGGGTCCTACTAACCGAACTTGTACTCCCATTATTTGACATCAACATCTAATTAATCTTTGAATAATAAAATAAAAAAAAATAATATTTTTTATTAAGAAGTTTTAAAATACGATAATCTTTGATTAAAAAAATAATAATAATACCTTTAATTAAAATTTTTTTAAATAATATTTTTCTATGTATGAGATCTCAAACATAAAGTTTAAGCTAGCAGACATTTGATGTTGAAGGCCCTTAGAACAAATATATTCCATTTGTCACTCTTCTTCTCACTTTGGCTTGTCATGCGCCAAGTTGCTAATATGTTGACCCCAACTGCAGTCAAGTCCAGTTTACTCCTCAAGATGCCGCTGGATGTAAACAATGGCTGATCTTTAATTTTGTATATCAATTAGTAATCACACTTATAATTTTATTTCAATATGAGATTTAAGTTGTTAATAATAATTGGTCTTCTAGAATTATATATCAATTACACTTAAAATTTTATTTTAATATAAGATTATGGGTGTTACAAAATCGAAGAATTATGTTGTCACAGCTCTTGCATTGTCAGTGACATCTACATGATGTATGGTGGGAATTTTGAGCACTATAATTCCAAATAAAAAAATTGAGACAACAATTTAACGTAATTTAATTTATATACCTTTTAATAAGTTTACATCCAAAAAAAAAGTGAAATATATAAATCTACTATTAAGAAAAAGAGTACAATAATTTAGAAACCTTTTCATTAAAGAAGCTCTCAATACTATAATTTTAATATATAAAAACTCTCAAATTCTCTCTAATAATCTTTCTTAATATTCATGAGAATTATCTCACAATTTCTCCTTTTTTTTCTCTCTCACAAAGTGCCCTCACTGACTTAGCTCTTCTCAATTTCTCGTGCTTTCTCACACTCTTGCTTACTTGTTGCCTTTGCATGCATGAGTATTTATGATGAAAAATCCAACCACCTGTGCACCTTTTTTTTGCCTCATTAAATGAGTTCATCATTCAATTTTACATGATTTCAACAAAGCACTGCTAACCCACAATTGACTCATAAGTCGGTGAAGAAAACTACCACATGAAAAGTTTGTGTTCATATGGAGTTGTACTTTCTGCTAACCCAGAATTGACTCATAAGTCGGTGAAGAAAACTACCACTGAAAAGTTTGTGTTCATATGGAGTTGTACTTTCTGCTAACCCAGAATTGACTCATAAGTCGGTGAAGAAAACTACCACATGAAAAGTCTATGTGTTCACGTGGGGTTGGATTTTTTACTAACAATGTACTATGCACCGTGATTTGGGTCAAATTTATAAATGATGTTGAGCAAAGCAAACTTTGTTTTTGGAATTTCTGAGTATTTAATTATTTCTTTAAACTTATTGAACTTAGACAATTCAGAAATTCCTAAATTTCATATTAGAATTTTTATAAATTCCAAAATTAACTCCAAGAAACTGCTATAGGACTTCCAACAGTGTATTTTCCAGACACCCAAACCAAAGCTCCGAAGGAATAGGATGACCCTCCAGATGTTTTTCCTCTGTTTCCAACAACACTAACAGTATAGCTCAATTCTTCCCCCAACTTCTTGAAATTCAAAACTGTAGGTTTAACTGTCACTGATGCATCCTTTGGTTCTTGCACTTTTACTGTGTAACTACTTCCTGGAACCCCAACATTTGTCACGGTCCTCTTGAATGTCATAGCTTTGTTCTGAACCTTTCCCGTAAAATTCACAGCAAAGGAAGGGTAGTTCAAGTCACCGAGAGGAATTCTTGTCCTCGGACAACTGAAGTTGCTACCGGAGCCAGAAAATAAAGTTATTTGAGCAGATGTGTAACCCAGGCTGCACAGATGGTTCAAGTAGTCTACCTCTGTGATGTTATAGATTAGCCCTGGATCAGATGCAATTTCAGGATTAACATGGCCTGAACCAAATGCAAAAGGAGTTGCTGAAGATGAGGTTGCAACATCTACAATTGGGTTCTTGGTATTGTCTAGTGTGTAGGCTGTTGTCATGAGGGCTGATTTGATGGCGGCCGGAGACCAGTTTGTGCGAACTGATTTGATTAGCGCAGCAATGCCACTGACATGGGGACAGGACATGGAAGTCCCTGAAACTATGTTGAACGGAACACTTCTCTTGTCCTCGTCGGCAGAGGTCGGGCTATTCAAGGGCGGCCAGGCAGCTAGAATATTCACCCCTGGTGCGGTTATGTCTGGTTTGATCACCTGTGGTCCAATCTCACTCGGCCCTCTTGATGAAAATGCTGCCATGGCCGGTGCACGGTTACCGTACACTGTTCCATTAAAAGTAATGGAAGCTGTGGCCTTTTTGTTTGAAGAAATATACTTTTTGATGGCTTTTCCTGCGGTGGCACCTACTGTTATTGCCGGCAAAAGGTAAGCATAGGCGATTTGCTCCTCCCCGTCATCGTCAATGTTTAACACTATCATTCCAGCTCCGCCGGCTAACTTCACATTGTCTGCCATTTCACCACGACTGACATACCCTGATTCACAAAGTACAATCTTTCCTTTCACAAGTGTCCTCTTTAGTGAACCATAATCGCAATACACCGCATCTTGGGTTCCGGCACTTTTCCCATACACAATTGGCAACTGTACTGTTGACTTTCCGGTGAACATAGATGAACCCATAAGAGTTTGTTTATTTCCAAGCTTGACAGTAGCCAGAAAGCTTCGGTCAAGGTAGCTTGCCGCCACTGTTGTGATCCAGGGTGCAGTGTTGCTGACAGTGGAGACATATGGGCCAGAATTTCCTGCTGAACATGACACAAAAATCCCATTTCGGATTGCGTGAAATGCACCTATGGCAATGTTGTTTCTATAATAAGGCTTGTCATAACTTCCTAAAGAAAGGGACAACACATCAACCCCATCCAAAATGGCTTGGTCCATGGCGGCAAGTATATCAGAGCCAGCACAACCACGATGCCAGCATACTTTATATGCTGCAATTCTAGAGGTATATCTTATTCCACTCGCCGAGCCCTTGGCCAAACCCAGGAAGCTGGCATTTTTAACAAGACTACCTGCTGCTGTTGATGAAACGTGTGTTCCATGGCCTTGTGCATCTCTTGCAGATTTGTAGTCTTCAGTTTCATGGATTCTGCGGCCAGCAGCTTCATAGCCTTTGTAATATGCTCTGGCACCAATGAGTCTTCTGTTACAATTTGAGGCGGTGAAGTTTGTACCTTCCTCGCAAATGCCTTTCCACCTAGAGGGCACTGGAGACATGGTTGAGTCCTTGAAACTGTCATGTTCCGGCCAGATTCCTGAATCCACCACACCAACGATCACATCTGACTCTAAGTTTTTGGAATTCCATAAGCCTTTCCCCCTTTCGAGGCCAAGAAATTGAGGGGAATGTGTAGTGTGGAGTTTGAGCAATTCATCAGGAGTAGCAGACAGAAAACCATTGAGTTGTCTTAGTGATTCCAGTTGCTTTTTAGAAAGCTTTGCAGCAAAACCAGTTATTTTTTCGTATACATAAAGTAGCTGAGGAGACGATGCTGAATCTTCTTTTTGGGCAGAGGCAGAGGGATCAATGATAGAGCCAATCACTGCTTCATACCATTTTCTAGAATTGTCTTTGGATGCTATCTTGGCCTTGTCCATGTGAACTATATATGTCTGCTGCTCGTTGATCGATGTAGCAGTTGAAGTTGTTGCCATCAA